ATTTTATTTATTTATATGTGGTGCTAAGAATCGAACCCAGTGCCTCACACATGCCAGGCAAGCGCTCTACCACTGAGCTACAGCCCCAGCCCCTCAATTTTGTCATTTTAAAGTGTACATTTTTGGTTTTTAGTAGTCACAAAGTCACAACTATCACCACAATCTCATCCAAAATGTTTCCATTTTCTCAATTTCTCTGTCCTCTCATCCAGTTGGAATCCTTTTTTTAAGAGAGGGTGGGGAATTGAATCCAGGGTGCTTAACCACTGAGGAATATCTACAGTTCTTTTCATTTTTTATTTTGAGAAAGAGTCTCACTAAATTGCTTAGGGGCCTCACTAAGCTGCTGAGGCTGGCTTGGCATTTGTGATCCTTCAGCCAGGTGTGGTGGCACACGACTGTAATCCTAGTGGCTTGGGAAGGATCCTGAGTTCAAAGCCAGCCTCAGGAATTTAGTGAGACCCTAAGAAACTCAGACAGACTCTGTCTCTAAATAAAGTATCAAAAAAGGGGGCTGGGATTGTGGCTCAGTGGCAGAGCACTTGCCTCATACATATGAGGCACTGGGTTCCATACTCAGCATCACATGAAAATAAATAAAATGAAGGTATTGTGTCCATCTACAATTAAAAAATTTTTTTAAAATATAAAAAAGGGCTGGGGGTGTTGCTCAGTAGTTAAGCACCCCTGGTTCAATCCCTAGTACCACTAACTAACTAAATAAATAAGTAACTAAATAAATAAATGAATAAATAGAATTTGCAATCCTCCTGCCTCAGCTTCCTGAGCTGCTGGGATTACAGGTGTGCACCACCTCACTTGGCTCCAATTGAAATCTTTAAGATTTTAAACCTACTCTAAAATGTAGAGTACATCTATGAAGTAGTCTTGCCTGAAAAAAATGGAATCTGAGCTGAGAACGGTGGCACACCCCTGTAATCCCAGCAGTTTGCAAGGCTGAGACAGGAGGATCACGAGTTCAAAGTCAGTCTCAGCAATGGTAAGGCGCTAAGCAACTCAGTGCGACTCTGTCTCTAAATAAAATACAAAATAGGACTGGGGATGTGGCTCAGTGGTTGAGTGCCCCTGAGTTCAATCCCCAGTACCAAAAAAAAAAAAAGAATCTGAATCTAACCCTTTACATTTGTTTTAACACAGTAGTCATTCAATATTAAAATTAATGAACATGAAATAAAATTGAAAATTCAGTTACACTAGTTGCATTTCAAGTGTTGATACCACATGTGGTTTCCATGCAGAAAGTACAGATATAAAACATGTTTATCAGCACAGAAGATTGAATGATAGGGCAGCATCACAGCTATATCTAACCATTTCCAAGAGATATAGAAATTTGAGAAATCTATTAAATACTACCATAAGGATATACTAATCCAAATACAGAATGTAGAAATTTCTTTTTTTAAATATATATATATATATAGTTTATTTAATAAATAAATGTAGTTCAAAATATAGTGCCAGGGTATTATGCAGTTGAACATGCTAGTAATATTTGTTATGAAGCACTCGTGCTCATGTTAGATTGGTGGCACCCCACTATTGCTAGTGGTTCCTGTGATTAGTGCCAGAGCAGCACTAATTATCTGCTCTTCTGCACAGCAAGTGCAGAAAATTCTTGAACAGTTCACCTTCCTAATCCTACCTTCCCCAACATATACATCAGGTTAAAAAAAAAAAAAAAAACAACAACAACCCTGATAGCTAACAGATACCTATACACAATCACTCTACAGTTATGGCTTATTATTAAATTAAAATGTAATGAACTGGTTAACACCCTCTAAAGCTTCTAAGATTGAGAACTACATCAGCAGCCGGTAGTTATATGCATGAACCAATGTTCATACAATATAGAAGTAGAGGCATTCGGTGATTGAAACTCCACACAGACCTGCACAATGAGGGGCTAGCGATGCCCATGGCAAGCCTCACAATTCAAGTCCATACCTGGTAAATGACCAGCTGAATGGACAACCTGTAGAATGTGGAAATTAAAAAAATTGTTTTTGTATTTTTAGTTGTTGATGGACCTTTATTTTATTTATTTATATGCAGTGTCGAGATTTGAACCCAGCGTCTCACACATGCCCGTCAAATGCTCTACCAATGAGCCACAACCCCAGCCCCCAAGTGTGGAAATTTTTATGAAACAAATGGCCCAGTTTTAAAAACAAGTAAATGGCATGAAAAAAAGGGGGAGGGAGAAATAGTTGTAGATTTAAAAAGATTTGAGAAAAATGGGTGCTCAGTGGTAGAGTGCTTGTCCAATTGCTTGAGGCCTTGGGTTCCATCCCCAGCACTGAAAAAAAAAAAAAAAAAAAAAAGATTTGAGACAAATGAATTGAATGCACTGTGTGGACTTCCACTGAATCTTGACTTTGAATTAACTGTGAGAGACATTTTTTGAGACAAATCAGTTAAACAGCACATTCGAGTTGTAAGTATGAACTTATGCCTTGAACAAAAACCTTGGGAGCCCATCATTTTGGACAGAGCTCCTACATTAGGCCCCAACTGAAAGACCAAATCAAAATGGAGTCACTCATACTAAATGCCACATAATCAGATTGAAAGTTTAAGGAGGTAGACAGATCCCCAATAGATTCCAGTTTACTTGAATCAGCACAAGAAGGAAGTCCCCTCTGCTTTAACCTTTACTAAAAAGGAACCTGATATTAACCAATTCAGCTTTTTATTTATTTTTTCTTGTTCTCATGTGACAAAACCCAATGTTCTGCCTTGGCCCCAGTTCTATCCTATACAACTGGAGGCTGCTTAGTTTATGAATAGAAAACAAAAGCCAATTAGATCCAGAACTAAATTGTTATAATTCTGTCTTTTGACAAACTTGTCCATATGTGGTCAGGGAGAGAACCCAACTAAAATGAGGAAAGAGTTTATATTTCTGACTCAAAGGAATAAAAACAAAGCTGCATGTAGCTTTATCTCAGTGATGTTGGGATTTGCTGTGGGAGAACAGAGCTTCACCCCACTCCAACGCAGTCCTGGGCTCTCCAGGGTAGAGGTGGGGTGTTGGGAGTAAAAGGCCTGTGAAATCTTCTCCTTCAACTTCCTGGCCGTGTGCTGCCGTTCCTCAGATCTCCTCTTCCAGGGAGTCTCCCTGGCATGCCCTGTTGTCCTACCCCATTCCATCCCCAAAGGGCCTTCCTGATCTTCCCTTTGCACAGCCCTGAAGGCAGCCCACTCTGGGACACTGGTGCTGAGACTTGTAGGATAGGGAAGAGGTTGCCAGGCAGAGTCAGGAGATGGTTCCTGGCAGAGGGCACAGTATGGGCCAGGGCTCCGAGCCCAGCTGGAGCTGGGGTGAACTGGAACAGAAAGGGAAACTGGAGCCTAGAGGTCAAAGAGGAGGTTGGAAGGAAGTATAGATGAAAGATCAGCAGGAGCAATAGAACCTTAAGGCCTCTACAAGGAGTTTGTGTTTGCAGGGCCACAGGAAGCCATTGCAGACTTTTAAGGCAGGAGTGGCTACTGTCCCTGTTTCCCAGTGCATATGGTAAGCCCCACCTGTCTTTCAGAAGTGTTGACCCTATTACTCACACACATCCTTGACCTGGCAAAGTCTTCAGGGGCCACCTTAAGTCCACTCCACCTTAAACAGGCTCCACCCCCCAGCACAGCCAATGGGCTGAGTAGGGGTGACCAGCTGCCACCTGCCCTTACCCCCACGGTGCTCAAACTGATTGCAGTTCCAGCTATGGCCTCACTGCTCCGGGCTGCAGCCCCAGGACTCTTCTCCTGGAGAGGGTACTGCTCCAGAGGGTCGCAGGTTGGTGGGGCCGGGATCTGGGAGGGATCCTTGCCTAAAGTTTCCCAAGCTCTGTGCTGCCATCAGGCATCCTCACTAGCCCACACCCCTCCCTCCTGCCCTGGGGGAGGGAGAGGGTGCGGTGGCCCCCAGTTCTCTTTCTGGCGCCTCTGGCACTGTGATTCTTCCCTGAAGGGTGAGCTCAGCAAGGGCTTCGTGGAGTCTCTAAAGGCTATTGTAGGGAGCCCCCACGTGTCCACTGCTGCTGCTGTTCGAGAGCATCACGGGCAGGATGAGTCCATACACAGGTATTGGGAACCCTGGCTAGGAATGGGATCCCTGGTCGTCCTCGTCCCCACTCACCTGTTTTGGTGTGCTAAGGCACTCTCTATGGAGGGGTGCTCTCTGCCTCTTGTTTGCTGTGTGGCCTCAGGCCTTGTGACATCTCCAGGCTCCTTGAGAAGCAGGGCCAGAGGGTGCCACTAGCTTCTCATTCGCTGAGGTCTGTTTCTAGGTGTCAACCTCCAGATGCGGTGGTGTGGCCCCAGAATGTGGACCAGGTCAGCCGGCTGGCAGCTCTCTGCTATGGCCAAGGTGTGCCCATCATCCCCTTCGGCACAGGCACCGGCCTTGAGGGGGGAGTCTGTGCTGTGCAGGTATAGCAGGGTGCCTCAGGTCTGCTTCACCACTCTGGGCATGTTTGTGGCCATTCCTACATGCCATTCTGGGACTCTGGTCTGGCTGCTGGGGTTCAGCCGTGGGGTAGAGTCCTGGGGTCTGTGCCCAGCCCAGAGACTTAGGTCAGTTGGCCTTCTTTGCACTCCTGCGCCCAGGGTGGTGTGTGCATTAACCTGACCCACATGGACCGGATCACGGAGCTGAACACAGAAGACTTCTCTGTGGTAGTGGAGCCTGGTGTCACCCGTAAAGCTCTCAATGCCCACCTGCGCAACAGTGGCCTCTGGTTTACTGTGGGTAAGCTTGGGGCTCCTGCACCTTTCCCAGGGTCCTGGGGGCTTGCAGGGGGCTGGGCTGTTTATGGGGCTTCAGAGGACCCTGCTCTCCCCACCCGCCCAGGGTGGGGGAAAGGGCCTTCGGCCTGCCCTCTCCTGCTTTCTGCCCTCCAGACCCAGGTGCAGACGCCTCTATCTGTGGCATGGTGGCCACTGGAGCTTCAGGCACCAACTCTGTGCGCTATGGCACCATTCGGGACAATGTGGTCAATCTGGAGGTGGTGTTGCCCGATGGGCGGCTGCTTCACACTGCGGGCCAGGGCCGTCATTTCAGGTGAATGTCCTCTGCCCTTGGCCTTAGGCTTCAGTGAGTGCTGATGGGGCCTCTAGAAGCCCTCCTGGATCAATGAGTGGCTAGAGAGGGCTGTCATGTGGGCCAGCAGATGGCCAGCATGCTGGGGTTTGCTCTCCTGCATAAGCCTGACAGAGGTTGAGCAGTGGCAAGTACTGTAATGGGAACTGGGGATGCGGAAGGCCAGCCCAGACTTGGGGGCCTAAGGGATAGTGTCCTGGGCCCCAGCTTCAGATTTCTGGGCAGAAATCCCTCATTGCACGGTCTGGACACTCACCTACCTTATGTGTTCCTTATGTGTCTGGACACTCACCTACCTTATGGGGCCCAGGAAGAGTGCAGCTGGCTACAACCTCACAGGACTCTTTGTGGGCTCTGAGGGGACACTGGGCCTCATCACATCTGCCACCCTGCGCTTGCACCCTGTCCCCGAAGCCACAGTGGCTGCCACCTGTGCATTCCCCAGTGTCCAGGCGGCTGTGGACAGCACTGTACAGATCCTCCAAGCTGCAGTGCCTGTGGCCCGCATTGGTGAGCCAAGGACTGGTGCAGTTAGGGTGGGCTGCACAGAAGAGACCCCCTTGGAAGGCCAAACCTCACTGGGCATCCCTCTTCCTGGCCCCAGAGTTCTTAGATGATGTCACAATGGACGCCTGCAATAGGCACAGCAAGCTGAGCTGCGCCGTGGCGCCCACACTCTTTCTTGAGTTCCACGGTTCCGAGCAGGCACTGGCAGAGCAAGTGCAGCACACAGGTGTGTTGAGGGTGGGACAGCAGAGCCTGGGCTGCCCCAGTGTAGGGCCTGGGTCAACTTTTCCCTACTGCAGAGGCGATCACCCAGCAAAATGGAGCCTCTCACTTCTCCTGGGCCAAAGAGAGTGAAGAGCGCAACCAGCTTTGGGCAGCCCGGCACAATGCTTGGTATGCACTCCTAGCCCTGTCTCCAGGCTGCAAGGTGAGCTGGGATGGGGATGGAGGTGGAATCCACTGTTCAGCCCACAAATCCTTCCCTCAGCCCACTATCAGATTGTTCGAAACAGCAGGCTCAAGTGGCTGGGTGGGCACTAGAAGCTGGGGTTATAGACCCTCTCGCCAAACTGTTTCTCAGAGGCTGTCTAGTGTCCAATCACACTAGGGAGCCCTTCCTGCAACCATGCATGCTCTCGGGAGTTTTGAACAGAGAGGGAAGTTCTACCCAGAAGGGGAAGCTGGGCTCTAGGCAGCGCAAGCAGAGGCTCAGTAGTGCAGGGGAAAAGGGGACCTGCACAAAGCCAAGGATGGAAAACCAGGGCAGTGGTGAAGGTCTGGGCTGGCAAGGCCTGGGGAACACAATCTGGTACAACTGTCTAGAGAAGAGCAAGCCATTTCCTTCTGTGAGGCCAAGAGCTGAAGTCAAATCCCCTCAGACTTGATCACAGTGACCCTTAGCTTTAGGCAGACAGATGGGGATGGGGAGAGCCTCACCAGTCTGCTCTCTGACCCAGGGCTATTCCACTGATGTGTGTGTGCCCATCTCCCGGTTGCCGGAGATCCTGGTGCAGACCAAGGAGGAACTGAAGACCTCCGGACTTAAAGGTTCTGCCTACTCACCTGGAGTGAGGTGGGGAGGCACTGAGGCCCACCAGTGCCTGGGCCAAGGGCAGGGGAGGCTGGAGGCAACAGCTTAGTCCTCTGGGTCCACAGGAGGCATTGTTGGGCATGTGGGTGATGGCAATTTCCACTGCATCTTGCTGGTCAACCCAGATGATGATGAGGAGCACCACAGGGTCACAGCCTTCACAAAAAAGCTGGGCAGGTAAGAGTTGAACCTGAGATGGGCTGGGTGGGGAAGGGCAGAGGAAGTGGGAGAGGAGTCCACTGAGGTATTCCTTCTCATGATATCCTAGGCGGGCACTGGCACTCCATGGGACGTGTACTGGGGAGCATGGCATTGGGCTGGGCAAGCGGCAGCTACTGCAGGAGGAGATTGGTGCTGTTGGCATGGAGACCATGCGGCAGCTCAAGGTCATGCTGGACCCCCGAAGCCTCATGAACCCAGGCAAGGTGCTGTGAGGAGCTCCGAATACTTAGCTACCCTGCAAAGGATGGACAGTGCAGATGCTGTTTCTGCCTGCCAGTTAGCCCTCTGTAGCCCTCTGTAGCTGGGGCCTAGAGTTCAAGCCAGGAGAGAAGCTGGACTCCCTCCCTGGCCCTCTTGCTGTCTTCAAAAGCCTTTGGTCCAGTAAATGACCCAGCGTGGTTCCTGGTGAAGCTGCTTTCTCTCTGATCTCACATACCCTGTACTGGTTGGGGGAGATGATGTGGGCCCACCCCAAGACTAAGATCATATCCCTGTCAAGGTCTCCCCACTGCTGACACCCAGGACCCTTTATCAACCCTTCATCTACTTGGGTTGATAGGCATGCTCCTTTCCTGAAAGGGGAGGGGCCTCCCAAATGAATCTGAACCCCATTTATAGCTGTCTGGAGATCAGCAGGCAACACTTCCCATATACACCCTCTCTTCCTCTAGATAGTGACCCATTTGTCTGGGGCCTGTCCTCTGATTTATGGAACCCTGGGGAAAAGGATGGTGCTCAGACTTTGGAAGGAAGCAGGTCCCTGTTCCAACTTCTCTTGCTTCTGAGAACCTTGGACCTACCCACAGTGGAGGTCCCACTAGGCTCCAGCTGGGCCTTAGAACTCTGAACACATTCTTCAAGCAGCTGCTACCAACTGTTAGAAATGGGAGTGAGATTAACATTGCACCACACTGCTCCATGGTATACACTCCAAATCAAGGTCATCCCACCCTGAGGCCTGCCTGTCTTGGGATCCCTAGCCAGGGCCCCTAAGGTCCTTAGCAGTTGTTCTCCCAAAGCCCACTAGAGGGTGCCCGGCACCAGTAAACTCAAGACACCACAGCAGCTGCCGCCCAGGACTCTTCTGTCCGGGGCCTGAAACTTTTAGCCCTGGGCCACCCACCTCCCAGGACTGTGGAGGGACCTGGCAGGCAATCTGTAAGCCCTCCACTCACTGTAGGTCCCAGGAACCTGTAGTGCCACTTATCTCCCTCACTCCCAGGTCTTTGGCCCTCTTAGCAAAGGGGCTGGATGAGGGATTCTGGGAGCCAATGCAGGAAACAGCACCCTTCTGCTCACATCATGCTTTCCCCTCAACCCTCTCAGTCCCTAACCAACCCTTCCAGGGGGGGGGGGGGGGGCGCGGGGGGAGTAGGTCACTGTGCAACTCCCTCTTGCCCACCCTCCATTCTTGGGATCCCTACTTTGTGCTAACGCTGGGCTGCAGCAGAGAGCAGTGACACTGACCTGGGTTTGAGGACACACTGGCGTTTCTGTTTCTGGCTGGGAACAGAGATTATGCCAAGGATGGTTTGGTGGCAAGTCCCCTGGGCCCTCCCCTGACACCACCCAGTATGCAAGCAATCCAACCATCAGCCACCATGCTCACCATGGAAACAGCTCCCCAGCCCTTCCCCCTCCCCTTCTGAACAGACTGCAGGGCCCTCCCACAGCCCTCCCAGGTGTTGTCCAGTGGCCAGTCTTGCCTGCAGCTCTTTGATGTTGCCCCCTGGGTCTAGTGACTAGAAGGCGCACAGCAAATGGCCAATTCCCCACAATTTTTTATTAAGAAAAATTCCAGACATACAGAAGAGTCGAAAGAACAAGTACACTGTTCAGTGATGAAATACCAGCCATTGAAGATTCAACAACAGACATTTTTGCCTTATTTTTTTTTGGGGGGGGGACCATTTAGAATTACACATTTCTGAAAAAAATCATTCACCTGTATATAATTCAGCATCTACCTCCTAAGAATAAGGACATCCTCCTGTAAAGTTCAATACTATTAAAGGCTGTTAAGATGAAAGGTTTTCACAAGGGGCTCCTCTTTAGAAGCTGCCCCTTCCCACAAGCATGCTGGGTCCCCAGCAGAGAAGGGGCAATACAGGCTTCTGGAGAGCAGTCTGGACAGGAGGGTGACAAACACCAGCTCCACTTGGGAAGCCCAGACAACTTCAGTCCCACCTCCACACCAGATGCTGGCAACCTGGGTCTGAATTCAGAGCACTGTGCAGCCAGCAGAGGGCTGCAGTGTGCCAGGTGGGAGCGGAAGTCACTGGGGGTGGAGATGAGCACCAGCCCTGAGAGCCTGGAATAGTATCGGCGTGGGCCCCAGCCTTGCCCCACCCAACTCACAACCACTCAGCTCACATGTGGTGCTGCCAAAGCAGCCAGGCTCACACAGCCACGGTGGGCACACAAAGCTTCCATCTCCAAGTCCAAGGGTCAAGCAAGGAGATCTCCTTCAGGGCTAGGCCCTGCCCTGGCAGCTTTGCTGGTGGAATTAAATATAGAACAGGGAGACACAGTTGCCAGGCAGAGCAGGAGGTGCTGTGAATAGAACAGTGCCCTTTGCAGTGACAAAGCTATAAGGAAGCCTGCTGTGCAAGTGCCAGGCCTTCAGGGTAGATCTCCTGACCCTCATGGCGACCTCAGAACTGCGTGATTTTGTCCCCCCTTCATACAAGAGGAATTTGAAGTTCGGATGAATGGTGTCATTTCCCCAAGACCATTTTGCCAACAGGTAGAGAGCTCAAATGAGGACAGCCCATGTTATGGCCGTCAACTCCCACCCAAAGTGGTTCCAATACAGACATCCAGGCTACAAATCAAACTCTTCTTCAGTTCTGAGCATGCCCACTAGCCTGCAATAAATATCCTTACAGAGTGGGTGCTTCAGGAAGCATCTGAGGGCAGGTGACTTCAGCTGGGCCCCGGTACCAGCGCAGTCCAGGCTCCTGGGCCTGGTGGGGTTAGGCCCTGAGGCAACAGCACAAGGGCAGGCCTGGGAAGGAACAGGGCACAGAAGGTTCGGAATCGGCTCTCTCTAGAGCTTTCCTTGGCTGGCTCTTCAGGAAGCCCTGGAATGCAGCTCCTGGAGCCTGGCACAAAGACAGAGGCTGGGCATGCACTGCTGCCCCCTGCCCTGAGGTCCTGCCAAGCCTGTAATTTGCCAACTTTTGTGAGCCTGAGTGGTTGGTTCTGGTTCAAGGGCTCTAAGCTGGCTCAGTCCCAAATCAGGGCCTCTTCCTGGGCCTCAATGAAGCATGCCCATGAGTCAGCACTAAGATGTGGATGGAGCAACAGGCAAGCAGAACATGGGACTGGGAGCAGGTGCTGTGATGTTGGGGCTGGGGTAGTACCTGGAGTAACCCACATCCTTACAGACTCCAGTGGCTGCAAGATCTTTGCCCCTGCAGATCTTTCCAGAAAAGTTTGGTTATAACCACTCTATTCCACAGATGATGGCAGATTGGTTCCACAATGCTTACAGGGTTAGCAGAGTTGTAGGATGCACACCTGAATCACCACTTCCCCTCTACCCAGGTACAGCTGTCTGAGAACCATGGCACATCCACAGTGCTGCACAGTCGGCTGAAGGAACACTAAGGAGGTGGGTGAGGGGTGGGGTAGGCCTTGGCCCTCACTTCTTTATTGTATAACAATACTTCATTAAAATAACATCACACAGTTTATCTTTTATTAGACATTATTTTAATACCATATCAAACACCTTGACTGATGAAGAAAGCTTTTCTCCCAAGCTTTGAACATTTTTAAACATTTTATAAGTTTTTTTTTTAAATATATAAATACAGAAACCTATCTTGCATGGGCTGATGCCATGTGTGAACATCAATGGCTAAATGTTCTCAGAGTGCCTGAAAACAGGGGTAGCAGGATATGTTTATTTAGTCTTTTGTTTATTTAGTTTTCTGGGGGGGGAAAACCCACAAGGGCCTAAGAAAAATGTTCAAGCATTTTTGCAGGACACTTGTGGTTGTTAAATCCTCTGAACTGACCAGAACCAGGAGGAAAGAAGGGGGAAGACATGGGAGAAGAGGTGGAAAAAAGTCCTTGATGGGTGTATTTTTTTTTTTTTGCCAGGGGGTGGGGGGCAATGAAACCAAGATATTAGGGTCCCTTGGGGAGAAAAGTGCAAAACCAAGCCAGAAAAATGGGAGGGAGAAACAAAACAAAAGCAACCCAACCCCTAGATAGAGGCTGGTGACACCGAGAGCTGACTGGGTGCTGGGTGAAGGAAGAGAAGGTGTGTGCCCGCCCGCCGTCAGAGCATTAGTGGCAAGGACGCGGCCACATTTGGTTCTGTCGCTGAGTGGGTTATAGCTAATCTGTAAACATCACGAGGGAAAACACCAGTCGACACTAGACTTTTTTTTTTTTATATATAATTTTTTTTTTTTTTTTTGTAAACACTTTAAAGACAGACCCACAATGCCTTTCAAAGGTGAAAAAGAAAATGCCCTTTCCCTCCTGGGCTGAGGGGGGAGGGGAAGGATAGCGGTGATTTCACTCTTCTCTCCAACTCGCTCTCATCCAATCTGGTGTTCTCAGGGAAGAGGGAGAACCGTTTTCTGAAGTCAGTGCAGAAGAGGTGCCCTGTTCCCACTGGTGTCCCAAACTCAGCTCTGCCCCAGTGTCCGATGAGCCTCCTCTCAGGAACAGGGCTGTCTGTCCCTGTGTGGATCGGAGTAAGTCAGCCGTGCTCGTCTGGCTGAGGGCTGGCTGCTGCATCCCACAGTGGCAGCAGGTGTCCTGCTGAGAGCAGGCTGGCCAGGGCGTCTGTGGTTCCATCCAGGTGGGCCCCCCCGAAGCCAAACATCATGCCGGGAATCTGGACCCACGCCGCAGGGCCAGGCTCCACTCCCTCTGCCTCACTCTCACCCTTGCTTTTTCTTCTCCCCTTGCCATCAGTTTTGAGGTGAAGGTAAAAGAGCAAATGTCCCTGATTTGTCTGACATCATCAGCTGTTCTGGGCATTTACTTGGAATAAATAAAATAAACCTAACAAAAGAAAACAAAACAAAGGAGAGAGAGAGAAGAAAGAAAAGAGGCCCCCAACCTTTGGATATGAGTGAGATGAAGTAGAGTTGAGTGTTTTTTTCTGGGGATTTTGTCTATTTGTTTGCCAGAAAAAAGAAAGCGCCAGCCCAGAACTCAGAAGGGACAGTGGGGTGGGGGACAGAAGAGGGTGTCAACATGAAGCTGGGTGCCCTGGGGAAGAAATGGAGAGGACAGACTCAATGGTTACACTGGGAGACACATGTGCACACATGGGAGGGAGATGAGGTGCTAGCCTGGTGCAATCAGGACCCTGTGCTGTGGGACAGAGGAGCCAAGTCTCTGGAAGTGGGTGAGGGAGGTGGCCTGCAAGTGGAAGAACCAGCAGTGAAATGCCCACTGAAAGCGCTCTGCAGTGGACAATGCGCTGTCCACAGGCTGTCTAACTCTGAGTGCATGTCCATAAGGCCACAGGGAGTCATTCTTCCCATCACCAAAGAAGTGGAGACACAGGTGAGTGAGGACAAGGTGCCACCGGCTGCAAACCCGAGCTTATCCACTTTTGTCTGAGTATGTTCCCAGAGGATCTTTCAGAACTTTCCTCAGGGAGATTCACCCTGGACATCCGGAATATGCTAATCTTTCCCCAACTAATTCTACCTCTTCTGAGTATGTTCTTCATGAATATGTGCACCTGAGTGTGCATCGTTATGTTTCCTTAGGAAAAATCTCTTCCATTTCCATTAACTACTTACAGATGACGCACCTCAGTTCCCCCACCACCAGGCCCCCAGTGACACAACCCTGAGCCTGGAGCACCTCCAAGCACGGGCTCACCTTTGAGAGGATTCGGCAAGCAAGCCCGACAGGGTCAGTCCGCAGGGTGTTCTGGACAAGATCTGTTCACTTCAAACCACGAGTCTATGCAGCTGAGGACAGGGGGGGAGGGAGGAACAGCAAGGGGAAACCATGTTAGCTGTTAAAACACACAGTCTTGGCAAAGGTGGCTCTTTCAGGGGTCAGACTACTAAACAAAGGTTCCCTAAATCTCTCCTGGAAGAACCCCAGGAAAAAAATCATGTACCCGCTGCTTAAAGCAAGAAGGGAGGACATCAGGATTGGTTTTGGTTCAGCAGTGTCGGCAGTGGTGTGCAGGCTCAGGGAGACCTGGCGTTAGAGGAAGACCTGGAGTTACAGGAAGGGAGGGGACCAAGGCCAAATGAAGGGGCAGAGGAAGATGGCAACAGCTACTGGTGAAAAGGTGAGGGGGGGTGCAGGGACTGTGCAGGGTGGCTAGTCAACTACCTCTAAGGCTTGAGGTGCAGGGAGTAGGAATAAAGACATGGCAGGACTGGCAAGTGCTCCTGCTTCTAGGGTCCTGATAGAGCACCTTCCCGGGTTAAAGGAGCTGTGAGGCTCTTCCCCAGTGGATACCTTCTCAGAAGACTCCTGAGATCTACCTGATTTGGTTGCAAAGGTGGAAAGAGGATCTGGACCCTCAGGCTATGGTGACTAAGAAAGTGAACTAGGGAGGGGGCTTTTAGTTTACAGAGAACAACTGCCCCAAGACAGGGTCCCGATTTGTAAACCAACCTGGGCTTTTTCAAAGACAGAAACCAGATGGATAATGTGCACAAGACTCCCCCAGGACAGGGGTTGTCTTTTCTGGTTCTGGTTAGTTCCTCCCTGGGACACTGCAGGGCTCTGTGCTGAGACTCAGACCGTGAATCATAATTATCCCCTAGGCCAACCATAAGCCTCTGCACCAGTCACATCCACGTATCAGGCATAGTGGTCACACTAGACTAGTGGCCCCAGGCTGGACTTAGAGAAGCCTGTGTGCCAAGAAGCAGCTCTGGGTTTGAGGAGTAGAGAGCAGGTGGTGGCCACAGGAACACAGGGCACCCTCTCTTCTTGGGCAAGAAGGTATCCTTTTTCCACTTGGAAACAAGAATAAGGCTCCTGCTGAAGCCTGAGGATGAATCTTGGCCCTGCTAATTATAGCAGCTGTTGGTGCCCACAGATTGGTGCCCATGGACTGTGGCTCTTTCTGCCTCCTGGCCCTCTGGGGAGAAGGGCAATCACAGGGCAGCAAGGACACCCTCCATGCTGCCTCTCTCACCCTGTGGTATGGAGAGGTCTACACAGAAAGAAAAGGCTCAGGGAGGCAGATGAGAGTCAAGTTCTAGGTAGGATCCTAAGTACCTCCAACCTGTGCAGCTCCCTACCTGCTCCCACCATCTGAGCCATTAAAACAGAGCTGAACCTCAGGCAATTCTAGTACTTTGTATCCCTATAACCTTCCCATTAACACAGTGACACTGGGGGGGGGTCCTTGGTGGGAGGAGATATCCCACAAAGGGGACAGAGAGAATGGCTGGTGATGAGGGTCTGCTTGGTGGGATGTGGGGCATGCTGAGCTGCTTCTGCCGGGCCCTTGTACCTTTTATGATAGATGCACAGGCAGGGCAGCCTGGCTATCGTGTCCCCCTGAAGCAGCTCCTCCAGGCAGATCACACACTCACCCGCATCTTTTGTCAGCACATCATCTGCAAGGAGGACAGGAAGGGCAAGGGGTTAGTCACCAGTGGGTGGGTGGCACAAAGCAACTAGTTGGGTGGTCTAGCAACTAGCCTGGTAACCCAAACTGCCAGGCTCTGTGGGTACACAAACTTGAGCAGTAGAACCCTGACATCGAGACCCTCACTATGGAGACAAAACATGTCCACATGTTAAATATCTGAAAACAGGAGTTAATCCTAAAGTGAAATTAACCTAAGGTCCAGGAGGACCAAATAAATAAATAAATAAATAATAAAAAAAATAAATAAATAAAAATAAAAAGGGGGGCTAGGGATATAGCTAAGTTGGTAGAGTGCTTGCCTTGCATGCACAAGGCCCTGGGTTCAATCCCCAGCACCACAAAAGAAAACAAAACAACAACAACAACAAAACGTTTGGAGAGTGCTAGACGCAGCAAAGACAGGATGAGGCAGCCTTCTCCATTAATACACTCCCCTCCCCACACACTTACTCCAGGGGTGCTGATTTCTGGTTTAGAAAAACAGCACTGGGGAGGGTGCTCAAGGCAAGAGTGAGTGGAGAACGAGGTGCTCCAGCAAACACCTGTCCATGAATGTTCACAGCTGTGACTCCCAATACCCAAAGGTGAAAACAGTCCATGTCCACCAGCTGATGAATGGAGAAACTGAAGAGTATACCATACATAGATACTCCTCCAAGAAAAGGAAGGAAGAACTGATACATGCCACAATGTGAACGAACCTTGAAAATACACTGAGAGAAGACAAACACAAAGGCCACCCATTGCATGATAGCATTTATACGAAATGTCCAGAATAGATAAAAGGTAGACCAGGGCTGGGGGCAAAGAAATGAGGAACCAATGCTTAATGGGTAAGGGGTTTTCTTTGCTCCTTTAAAATTTTTCTATTTAATTGTGGTAAGAACACTTAGTATGAGAATCAACCCATTTAACAAATTTTTTCCTTGTAACAATTTTTAATGTGCAATACAGTATCATCAATTATGAGCACAATATTGTACAGCAGATCTCTAGGATGGATTGTCTGGCACAGCTGAAGCTTTATGCTCACAGCACAGCAACTCCCTACCTCTTCCTCCTCCAGCCTTGGCAACCACAGTGTGCCCTCCAGTTCCATGAATCTGACTACAGACCTCAGAAGTGGAATCAAGCTAGAGCCAGACAGAGATTGTAGTTGCACGACACTGTGTGTATTAAATGCCATTCAACTGTACATTTCAAATGGTCAATCCTCCGCCCCCCTTTAAAAAAAATTTTTTTTTAAGTTGTAGATGGGCAAAATACCTTTATTTTTAAAATTTATTTTCATGTGGTGCTGAGGATCAAACCCAGTGCCTCACACGTTAGGCAAGCGCTCTACCACTGAGCCACAAACTCAGCCCATCATGTGAATTGCACCTCCATTTTAAATAAAAGAAAAAGAAAAAAAGAAGACCATGCTTCCCTTCCAAAGAGAATGAGAAGAAGGTAGCTCCTGCACATGAGGGGGTGCAGCAGAACCAGGAATGAGAAAGCCAAGAGAACAGGTGAGCACCATGACGGGCTCAATGGTCTTTTCTTATATTTCTTTCTTTTTTTTAATATTTATTTTTTAATTGTACACAATACCTTTATTTTGTTCATTTATTTTTATGTGGTGCTGAGGATAAAACTCAGGGCCTCACATGTGCTAGGCGAGTGCTCTACTCAGAGCCACAACCCCAACCCTTTTCTTATATTTCTTTTCTTTTTTAAAAATTTATTTATTAGTTGTAGTTGGACACAATACCTTTATTTTATTTATTTATTTTCATGTGGTGCTGAGGATCGAACCCAGGGCCTCGCACGTGCTAGGCAAGTGCTCTACTGCTGAGCCACAACCGAGCCCCCTCTTATATTTAAAAAAAAAAAAAATTAAATTGTAGCTGAACACAATACCTTTATTTATTTATTTATGCGTGATGCTGAGGATGGAACCCAGCGCCTCACACATGCTAGGTGAGCACCCTACTGCTGAGCCACAACCCCAGCCCCTATATTTCTTCTTCTTCTTCTTCTTTTTTTAAAAAATATTTTTAGGGGCTGGGGTTGTGGCTCAGTGGTAGAGCACTTGCCTCATGTTTGTGAGGCACTGGGTTCAATTCTCAGCACCACATATAAATCAGTGAATAAAATAAAGGTCCATCAACAACTAAAAAGATATTAAAAATATTTTTAGATGTACACAATACATTTATTTTATTTATTTAGTTTTTTTTAATGTGGTACTGGGGATCAAACTCAGTGTCTCATGCGGGCTAGGCAAGTGCTCTACCACTGAGCCACAAATCAATCTCCACTTTCTTATATTTTTGTAACATTCTATATGATGGAGACTCAAAAGTATCTGAGCCATAGTCTCAGGATTCAAGGAGTATAGCCAGGAAGGCTAAATGAGAAAATAAAATGTGCACCATGATGGTCCTAGATAGCCTTTTGGTACACAGAGGCCCAGGTATAAGGGGTATGGAAGAAGTTACCCACTCAGGGTGGGGACTGTCCAGGGAGGGCTTTAGAGAAGGCCACAATGAAGTAAGCTGACAGGCAAAGGCTTGGGTGCAGTGTAGAGATTCCATGCAAAGGTGTGTTATGTATGTACCTTCGAACTGCAGGAATTCTGCTAAGTCAGGTGCAAAGAGATCCGTGGGGCCGCAGAGGGAGGTGAGACAAAGTTCCCTAGGACAAACTTGCCAACCTGTGCCGTGCTGTGTGCCTGAATCTTGTCTACTTAACCAAGAAGCACTGGAGGTGCATCTTGATTCCAGGAGTTCTGGAAGCTCCTGGAGAATGGACTGGAGGAGTCTGAAGATGGAGAACCCACTCTGGAGACCAACATTGTGCAGCAGTGCACATGCTGACAAGGATTGAGCAAAGAGGGGTGTTTGTCACTAGAGAGGAACTCTGGGGGGCAGGCATGAGCATGAGCACAGAAGCGATGAACTGAGTCAGATGGGAGGTGTCAATCCATTAGGCATCTCCATAGGGACATGCTAATTGAGACCTCCTGGAGTCCAGATGTGGGATGCAGAATAGAGAAAGCAAAGACAGATGTGCGTTAAGATTAATATATGAAGGACAGGTGAAAGAGGCAATATAAGGTTACCCATCAAGTGAGCAGACTATGCCTGGAGGGAGAGCTTGCAGCAGGATCACTTCTCGACACTCAAAGACTTTTGTTTTTGAGCCCTGTCAGTGATACAAACTGACATTCCACATGCATGTTTCCTGAGCCTCGTGATCCTACAAGCTAGCAAGGCACACAGTATTGTTCCCATTTTGTGAACAAGGACACAAGCCCAGAGAAGTCCCGCATCTTGCTTGTGAATGGTCGTGTTGGGACTGTGACTGCTAGGGTGGCCTCTTCTGTTGCTGTTTGTGTCCTCTAATTACTTTGGTGGAAAGGGAAATACTAGGAAATCATAAAAATCAGGGTTTTTCATTCCCAGAAAGATCTATGATTTAAAACCCCCATGAGGAACCCTGAGGAAAAAGCACAAAGTAGAACTGATTTGATACTTCAGTCTCTGTGCACAGGAATTGTGAAAGAAATCACTTGGCTTCTCAGACACTAGGACAACCTAAGGTCATTTTCTCTGTTGACGTCTGGCTAACCTGAGGGCCCACCAGAAAGGACAATGAACAGAAAAATGAGCAGGCTCAAAGCCTAGCTTCCAGAGAGGATGGAAGCATCCACAGACATTCTTGGCCATTTCTTCCCTCCTGTGTCTTGGGCATCTCACCCCTGAAATGGGTGACATAAATGATATCCTTGACATGATTACAGCTCTCCCTGCCCCTTCACATGCTCCTCCCTCTAGACTTGAGGTGAGTTCCTTGGAGTGTGGCAACACCATGATCCTGAAGCAGATTCCCCTTGCATTTCCCCTACTCAAGGGTGATTCAGCTCTGAGCGCAAAGGGCAAGGTAGACTTCTCTAGGTCCCAAACAGCTCCCCACAAGGGCTATGGTAATTTTCCCTCTGCATGTGCTCTAGGAGGGCCCTTGTGGCCCCCAGAAGCAACGATATGGGTTGGGTAGAGGAGGAAGGCATGCCGATACAGCTTAGGGGCTTTCTTCTTTAACAGGAATGAATTTGACTCTTCTCCCTCTTTACACTAGGGGAAGGGGAATGAGAAGGGGAAGGGTGGTTCGCTTTCTTATTCTAGGCTGAAAGGCCAATATTCCAAGGGCTCAGACTTGAGCATCTGTAGATTCAATGCAGCCTTTTCCTGGCCATTTCACAAAGCAGTTTTATATACCTTACCAGCCAGCCTGGGTCTGTCACACTGGTGGGAAGAAGTACAGTGTGCAGCTGCCCTGCTGGGCTGGCACATGGCAGGAAACACATTTCACTGGGACTAGGTTACAAAAGGCTACCTGGAGGTTCCTGGGGGTGAGGAAGAGGTGAGAGGCTTGGAATCTGACTGCACGGGGAAGCCAGCAGTGCCCACACCTAGCCCAGTGCCTAGGGAGTAGCATTCTTGCATGGCAGAAGGTAGGAGGAACACAGATCTGCAAGAGGTCTGCGTGGGCTGAGTAAGACTTCCTGTCCCAATCCCCGGGGCTCTGGGAATCAGCAGCCCCCAGGTGTTCCTGGATTTGTAGCAAGGACTAGAAAGGCTGAAGCAGAAGCCTGGCGTTCAACTGGTTCCCACTCGACTTCCATACCCATCTGACAGGAACCTGCGGCCCACAGCCACATGCTGAGGCCACACTGCAGATGGACTCAAGTGCCAAGGACTTGGCATGCCCAGGACCCAGGAGGAGGGGCTCAACAAATGCTGGATGATGAGAACACAGGAGCAAAGCTGAGCTTTCTGCCTTTGGGTTCTGCCTTTTTCTTACCATCTCTCAAGCTGTTCTCAACCTTCTTGATACCATGTACAAAGCAACCAATGTCACTGGCCTGGCTGGGGTGGTACTGGATGGTGCCAGTGCCTGTTCTTACAACCTGACCAGTGAACC